TATCTAAGCTTAGCAATACAGAACATACCTCTCAAATGCTTGTTACAGTGAAGAAGCCACTAATGGCATCACAGATACTGTATGGGACCAAGGACCATGGGATCCTAGATACTTTTCTAGAGAAAATGAGTAGGGACTTTATTTCCATAAGGATGGGCAATTTTATTGTCAATATGATTATTTATTTGCTTCTAGTCTGTGTGAACATAGTCCCTATGCACGAGGATTAAAAGAATTCAGTGGTCCAAGTCTTAAAACTATCATAACAAATTCATTACAACATATCAATTCTCTATGAATTATCACTAAACTGAATTAAAATATGTCACAGAAGTCACCAGACCACAGCCTTAATATTTTCCGCAGCCAGGTTCTGTCGTTTTAGGTATCACAAGATGGCAAATGAGGACAGTCAACCCACCCAGCATACCAGATTTAGACTACAAAATTTGGGTAAACACTAGATGGCGGCAAAAAGTTAGCTTTACGGATTTCTTTACTGCCAGCTAGTGGTCATTTTAAGTTTTACAGCATAGACATTTGCTCATAGATTATTTGTGAGCTTCACACAAATTTAAATATGTTGAATAATTATTAACTGTGTATGTGGTGGGGGGGAGAGACAGAGCTGCTTATTTTAGGCTGCTGACAGAACATTTGGGGACCATAAGATCTATACAACAAAATAAAGCTCTTGTCCCCCTCCCCTTCAAAACAGACTACCAGTACAAAAAAAACAAAGACTTTTTTTTTCTTCTTTTCTACTAAGTGTTTCTGTCTCCTGGGCGTATTTTAGATAAGGGTCAAACAAACAATACAGGAAGTTAAAAACCTCCCTATGTTTATTGCATAGGTTAAAAGAAATAGCACTGTGGAAGGGAGACAGCAGCAAACAGAGAGGGGAGTTTAACTAGTCCAGTGTTGTCTAAAAGAAGAATTAATCCCCCCAAAGGTGATAGCTGTTTTAAGGAAAACCCTCCCAGTTTTACTGGGAAATATCCTCTCCATGAAATCATTACTTTGGAAGAAAAGATTTTCAACAGCACTACCACAAGTTGGAAAAAAAAACTGACCTAAAAAATTGTCAACTGAACACGTCAACTCAAAATTCCTAACTTGAGGCATAAATAACCATGCTATAATTATCTTTCTAACTTGCAGGTTCACACTCTCTTTCTCAGAATATAATGCTGGAAAAGGTGGGAGGAAACAGAAGAGCAGGACAGCCAGCACCAATCTAAGATGTACAGAATGACAACAAGGTTGCATCATTTGAGAAATCTTAAGGACCACATTGGGAACAGATTCTTTTGGGGGGAAAAACCCCCAGAGTTGACCCAGCTTGATGCACAGAGTCAATTATCACATGTGAATTATCTGATGGTTTATCGTGGTGCCTATATCTATCAACGCATAGTATTCAATGGACATTTTCTAATACATATACCTACAGGTAATCCTTTTGAGCCCAGAATTTAAATTGCTGAGTAAGGCAGTTATTAAGTGAGTCATGCCCCCATTTTATGACCTTTTGCCACGGTTGTTAAGTGAATCACTGAAGTTAAGTGAATCATGCAGTTGTTAAGCAAGTCTGTGTCCCCCCTTCCCCAACTGACTTTGCTTATCAAAGGCTCCTTAGGAAGGTTGTAAATGACTCTCCCAGAAAGCTGGGATGCTGCAACCATCATAAATACATGTCTGAAGTTTTAACATGTGACTGTGGGGATGCAGCCGTGGTCATAAGTGTGAGAACTGGTCATAAGTCACTTTTTTCAGTGCCACTGTAACTTTGAACGCCATTAAACAAATGGTTGCAAGTTCAAGAACTACCTGTATACACAAAAATCATTTGTAATATACAAAGTTTAGGCCTAATCACAATTGCAACAATCCACAGCCCATCTTTTTACGAGTTTTAGGGAATCAGTTTTTCAGGCCTTGTCACAGATGTGTCCGATATTAAAATGTTAACTCTCCTGGTGCCATCATACGGAATAAAACAGGTCTCTTCTATATAGCTTAGGAAGGAACCAAATCTATACTGTATGCATTTCCCTCTATAACATGCTTACTGTTTTCATTTTTTAAGTGTTTTACAATTGTTTGGGCTTCGTTTTTAGCTGTTATGATCACTGTTTTTGCATTTATATAAGCCACTCAGAGCTGTTAAGGTAGCCTAAATGTTAAGGTAGCCTAAAAAAAAATAATTCCTAAATGAGATAAATAAATATCCTGGGAAGACAGCCAGGTCTGCTTCCCTAGCGTAATTATGCATTTCTAAACATGTATTTCTTGCATACAAAGATCACAGCCCCACACAGCATCCATGCGCTCTGTCCTATGTATCCCCAGCTGAATTTGCTGCCAGAACTCACTTCCAGGTAAAATAGATAACTGAAGCATCATTTAGCAGTCTTCATTTTTGGCTGCTTTTATAGGATTTCCTAGGGGTGGGGATTCTGGTGCCCTACAAAACTTTACTCTACTCAATTATCCTCACCATGTATTTTGTAGCCATACCATTTAGGATAGCGGGAGTTGCAATACGCCAACATTGAAAGTGCCAAAATACTTCTAGCAGTTAGTCCTCAACTTATAAGCTTTCATTTAGTGATTGTTCGAATTTACAATGGTACTGAAAAAAGTGACTTATGACCATTTTTCACCCTTACGACCTCTGCAGCATCCCCCTAGTCCAGTGATGGCGAACCTTTTAGAGACCGAGTGCCCAAAAACTGGCCCCGCCCCTGCTCCACCCCCTGCCCCACCCCCGCTCTGCACCCCCATCCCCTGCCCCGCCTGCCCATAGGACCACTAACCACCTACAGGGCCCGCCGCAGATCGCCCAGGCAGCCCAGCAGCGCTATGGTGGCCACACCCTCTGCCCGCGCCCTGCAGCATCAACTGCATGATGGGGTGTGAGGGCAGAGTCTTGTCTACGCTGCCTGGCTGCCATGTCCTTGGCTGTGCTCTGTGTGGGCCATGCTCGGGGGCGACTCTCCTTCAGGGGGGCTGCTGGAGAGGAGGGGGTCATGGGAGAAAGCAAGGCTGGGGCAACAGCATGTGTGCCCACAGAGAGGGCTCCGAGTGCTGCCTCTGGCACCCGTGCCATAGGTTCGCCACACTGCCCTAGTCACATGATCAAAATTTGGCGCTTGGCAACTGGCTTGTATTTATGACAGTTGCTGTGTCCCAGTGTCATTTGATCACTTTTTGTGGCCTTCTGACAAGTGAATCTAGAGTCACTTAACAACTGTGTTACTAATTTAACAAGTGCAGTGGTTCCTTTAACAAATGTGGCAAGAGAAGTCATAAAATGAGGCAAAATTCACTGTCTTGCTTAGCAACATAAATTTTGGGCTCAATTGTGGCCGTAAGTCAAGGAGTTCTTTGCAACCCTTGTGAGAAAGGTATTCCCTTTGTATTTTACTATGCATCTTGGAAACTTTTCTTTAGTGATTCTCCTCTTCCATTTAGTTGTACACCCACAAACGTTCAGGCATCAAAGCAACTAATCCCCAGCTTGAATCTCTTTGAACCTAGCTCATAGGCGGAAAAAAAATAAACCGAACACACCACCTACCACATGTTTAGCTTCCGAGTAAAGCCACAGACAGTTTCTTAAGATTGTAAACACCTACGAGGGAGGGAAAGTGTACAGGTAGCCCTCGACTTATGACAATTCAGCCTAAAATTTTCACTGCTAAGTGAGACAGATGTTAAGTGAGTTTTGCCCCATTTATGAGTTTTCTTGCCACTGTTGTAAAATGAATCACTGCAGTTAGCAACATGGTTATTAAATGAATCAGGCTCCCCATTGACTTTGTTTGTCAGATGGTCGCAAAAGGTGATCACATGACCCTGGGACACTGTAACCGTCATAAATATGAGCCAGTCGCCAGCATCTGAATTTTGATCACGTGACCAGGAAGATGCTGCAATGCTGATAAGTATGAAATGTGGACATAAGTCACTTCAGTGCTGTTTAACTTTGAATATGGGTCACTAAATGAACCATTGTAAGTCAAGGACTATCTGCATTTTGGCAGACTGATGTACACATACAAATAAACACATACATATTTATTTATTTATTAAATTTATATACCGCCCTATCTCCCTTACGGGACTCAGGGCGGTGAACAGGCGATACTAAAAACCACAATAATAAATAAATAGTTTCTGTTCTAAAATCAAATTAAATATAAAGTAAGTTTTATCGTGTTTTCTGATCTTATGGTTGTAATACATGTCTTGATTTGATCTGATACAGGATGTTTTTCCTCTGATTCTTTCATCAGTGATTGTACTCTGAAATCCTATTTCAATACTCACCAAAGTAACCAGAAAATACTAACCCTCCCCCCCCCAAAAAAATGATGAACTTCTGTTTCTCAATTGAGATCACCCAAGCAATGTTCTAAGTGCGAGAAAAATGGGTCATAAGTCACTTTTTTCCCCCAATGCCCCTTTTAAGTTCAGCCACTAAACGAACTGTTGTAAGTCGAGGACTACCTGCATTTGAGAGGCGCTGGTGTCTGCCCAGCGTCCTGCACACGTCTGCAAAAGGGAAAAAGTACACGGAAATACGATCTCAGAAGTCAGCGGGGGGGGGGGGGAACCAAAACCCATTTGGACGAAAGCAGAGAAAAGAAATTGGAAATTGAACCTCCGCAAACGCAACGCCGGCGGGACGCTTCGGCGACTCCTTAAGGCACGTCGGCCTTTTTTGCATGTGCACACGCGGAAAAGCGCGTGTGGAATGGAATGTGTGAAAACCCATCCTACCCCCGGGTGTTTTTTTTTCCCCTGGTTTTTTTTTTTTTTTTTTGCTTTCTTTTTTTGCTATCAGCAGGAGAGCCCCTTCCGCCGGGTCCATTGAAACAAAAGAGCGGCCCTTTCCGCCGCCGCCGCCGCGCAGCACAACTCCAGCGGCGGCTCCCCTCTGCTCCCCGATCCCGGCGGCGGCGCCGCCGCGCCTCGCCCTCGCCCTTACTCACTCCGGAGCGCCCCGATGAGGAGGCTGCCGTCCTTGATCAGCTCCTTAATGAACTTGTTGGTCCTCTCCAGCTCCACCTCGTGACATTTCAGTCTCTCCCTGAAATCCGGACTGTCCAAGTAGGAATCGCTGAACTCCAGCGTGGGCAGCCCCATGGCTGCAGCCCCGGCAGAGGAGCAGAACCAAGCAGGCAAGGCGGGCAGGCAAAGCAGGCGCCCGGCGCTGGATCTTCCGCCCGCCTCGGGGGGGTCTCTGCTGGCGAAGCGGCGCGGCGCTCCCCGAAGTCGCTGTCAGCTGCTTACATGGTCCGGCCAGCAGGACATCGCCGGGTCCGAGACGCCTTCCGGCCGATCACACACACACACACACACACACACACACACAAATCTCTCCCCGCTCCCGCGGAGCTTTTTCTGGGCCGGCCGGGGCGGCTCTTCTGCCCGCAGCACGAGCAGCTGCGCTGGGAGAAGGCAGAGCCCGCTCCGGTCCAATCAGTGCAGCCCGCCTTGGGCCCCCCACCCAGGTTTTTTTTTTTTTTCCCTGCCCGGCCACGCCCCCCCGTCCCTCCTTTGGGGCTGAAAGGGACCACCCACTTCTGCGAAAGTTCGCCCGGGGAAGCGCGTGGCTGTTTCTCTGCCCACCTTTCTTGTGTAAAAAGTCTCCTACGGTGTTACCGCGTCAGAAGCAGGTTGGTTAAAGTGCGAATGAGGTCGTGCTCCAGCAATAAAATAGAATCAAATAAAACAGCCCCAGCAAGTAGAATAGAGAGTACAGCTGAGTTTGACCTTTTTGTTTTTTCCAGCTAAGGATCAAGGTGGAAGGTAAAACTTGCTTTGAGGAGGAATTTGCCTTTCCTTCCAAGGTGATTTAATAATGATAATAATCCTGCATTGCTTAAAGGAGACCTGGGCATTTTACAGCCCTTAAGCCACATCTGGCTCTTTGGCTGCCCCTGTCTGGCCCATGTGAGGTCAATCGGAAATTAGAAATCAGATGTAAATAAGGCATATCGTGGTTTCTTGCCAGTAGCAGCTAATCAAAACCATATAATTTACTGCTTTTTATAAAATGATAAAATTAATATTGAGCAGAATTAAGTAAAACCTATTGGTTCCACCATCTGCAACTGATTCAGTTTTTCCTGTGACCCCTTGGGAAAATTAATTTGACCACCCCTATCTTAAATCAGTTGATTGATTGATTGATTGATTGATTGCCAATTAAAGTGTGTTGCCAGGACCCCTGGAGTCCCCCAAAACTCACTCAGATCAAATCAGAATGAGTTGCCAGCCTATGTTGAAAAAGTACAGTATTAAAAACCCCATCAGATGTTTGTGAGAAATGATAATGGCAATGATTGAATCAATGTGAATTTTTAAAATTATCAAAATAATGCAAAAGCTCTTTTTAGAGTCCTCCATCATTTTTAAAAGTGGGGAGGGGTTCTGAAAGGAAAGAAGAAATTAAATAATCGATAAGCCACTCTTTATTTAAATCTGTATATTTATTTTATTAGCCACCCAACTTCAATAGTTCCTGGGCAGTGTATAAAGCTGAAAAATATATAAGAAAAAGTTTACAGAATTCAAGTAAAATGAAAAACAACAAATATGCACACCTTATCTTTAAAGGCTAAAAGCAAAGCAGTTTATCTTCAGAAGCTTTGTGCAACAACCAGCGAAGGTAGGTTGGTATGATTAAAATTATCACCAAAACTTGCTGATTCATCATCAGCTCAGAAATGTCTGGAAAGTATAGATTACCTGGGAAAATTTTTCCCACACAGATATCTAATAATATATGAAAAGCTTTATCAGTTGGATTTCTGCCTGACCTATTGAGCTGCTACATATATGTCAATATGCTAGAAAAAAAAGACTATCTTATAAATTTGTTTATATCAGGGTTAGATAATAGAGCTATAATCCGCAGAGTCACTGATTGAGAGGAACAGCTTTAGAAATTGAATGAATGAATAAATAAAACTTTCCTTGGAATAGTGGTTCTCTGTTTCATAATCTTAAATACCCAAATCAATTTATTAAAGAAACTGGGTCTCTCCAAGATTAAATTTATCATATCTGGTCTGCATAAATCCACATAGCCATTAAATGGAAGCAAAATGGTGGAAAACACTAACTCTTTTGTGACATCTAGTGGTCATCCAGATTTGCACTCTAGGTATGTAAATCTACACAGTAACTAAAACTTTTTTTTCTGAGAAAACAATCTGCATGTTTACTGGTTGCCATTACTTTCAAAGTACTGTATAGTACTGTAAGTTTTAAAAACAAAAAATGCAATAATGGTGCTGATAAATTTTACTGTATAGTGAATGATAATTGGGGGATTGGATCTGTGTTGGGCGCTGTGGGAAGTCCCAACCAAGAAGTAAATCCAAATGATGACTAAGCTAAATGGGGATGAAACAGGCTTACTGCTGTTGGAGTAGCCTTTCTCTAAGCCCAAATCAAGAAATTAGCATAAACAATGAGAGCTAAGACTTTGAAAACATTATGCCCTGTACTCTTAAAAGAAAGAAATCAAGGAAATTAGTCCTCGACTTACGACCACGATTGAACCCAAAATTTCCATTGTTAAGCAAGACAGTTGTTAAACAAGTTGTGTCCCATTCTACGACCTTTTTGTCACAGTTGTTAAGGGAATCACTGCAGTTAAGTGAATCAAGCAGTTGTTGAGCAAATCTGACTTCCCCTATTGTCTTTGCTTGTCGGAAGCCAGCTGGGAGGGTTACAAATGGTGATCATGTCAATGCAACTGTCATAAATACATGTCAGTTGCCAAGCCTCTGGATTTTGATCATGTGACCATGAGGATGCTGTGACAGTTGTGTGAAAACTGGTTATAAGTTACTTTTTTCAGTGCCGTTGTAACTTTAAATGGTCACTAAATGAATGATTGTAAGTCCAGGATTATCTGCATAGCTCCACTGCAACATTAGGTTGCAGATAGTCCTTAACTTAACATTTAGCACAGGCGTACACAACCTTCATGCCGCAGGTCACATGCCGCGGCCCTGGACAGTTAATAATGAGTCACCACAAGATCATAAACGTTTAACACTATTATGTGATATGTAGTCCAAGACAATTTCTCTTCACTCAGCATGGCCCAGGCAAGCCAAAAGGTTGGATATCAGTGGTGGGATTCAGCCAGTTCGCACCACTTCGGCAGAACTGGTAGCTAATATTTTTGTTGCCCAGGCCCAGAATGGACTTCTGGAAACGGCATCCATGCAGAGAACCAGTTGTTCACATATTTGAATCCCACCACTGTTGGATATCCATGGTTTAGTGATTGTTCGAGGTTACAACAGCACTGAATATAGTGATTTACAACCAGTCCTCACCCTTACAAGCAATAGAGTTAATTAATATATAGTTAATACGATATTAACCAATAAGGCTCTGAAGAAATATAATTCAGTTTTACAACTGGGGCTAAGCAGGGCAAGACTTGGGTGACTTGATCATATGAGCACCTAGGCAAAAAGGGTTGAGGCAGCCACAGTAATGTTGACTGGCTCCAAAATGTTGCCTGTAATGGGAAGTCAGAATCCCCCCCCCCCTTTTAACATGTATCACATACTCCTAAAATGGGACATGGCTTTAATCACCCTATCACATCTGCCATGCTAGAGGCAGTGACCATCGCTGAAGAGTAGATTTTAATATTGTAGGAGTAAAACAACACGAGAAAAATAAAATCAGGTCATCTCAAACATTTAGGTATGTTGTGGTTAATATTTATTGATTTATTTATTTGTACCCTGCCTTTATTATGTTTACAAACAGCCAAGGTGGTAAACCTATCCAGCACATCTTCCTCCTCCTATTTTTGACAACAACAATCCTGTGAGGTAGGTTGGGCTGAGAGAAAGTGATAGGCCCAAAGTCATCCAGTCGGCTTTCATGCCTAAGGCGGGACTAGAACTCAGTCTCCTGCTTTCTAGCCTGGTGCCTTAACCATTAGACCAAACTGTCTCTCAAAATATATGTAAAAACAGTTTTAGAAATGCAAAAAAGGCATCGGAGAAAGTAATGCAACCACACAGCAGAAAAATACAAGGCCTGCATTTAATAGCCACCACAAGCCCAGCTTTTATATACACGCTGAGCCAAAGAGCTCCGAAATGGAAGCTTGCCATACCAGCTCTTGCTGAACAACTCCCAACAGGCCTGGCCTGCAGAGTTAGGAATGAGCGATGCTGGGAGTTGTAGTTCAATTACAGCTGGAGGGCCTCAGTAATTTTCAGACTGTGGAAGAGTTCTAATGCCTCCAAACAAATAACGTCTCTCTTTTCTTTCTTAATGAATTTTCCCTTTAAAGAAAAAAAAACTAGAAAAAAATTCAAAAGCTTTTCAAATAGAGATCACAGGCATCTGGATCCCTTGTAACATTATTGGTAATTATGCAATAACGATCTCATCTGGAATCAGGCTTAGTAGTAAAATTCGTTTAAGAACTTCTTAACAGTACCTGGACCGGTGCTTCTTTCTCTGAAGAAAATTTACCCATCCCTCTTGATTTCTTCTCATAGTTCTTAGATGTTTAGCATCTGGTGGAGATATTTTAAGGACAGTCTCTTTTCAGAAAGTCCCACAGTGTAGAGGTGAGCCATAATTTCTCCAATAGCAATCTTCTATAAGGATTCAGTTCGTCCTCAACTTATAATCATGTTTAACAATTGTTTAAAAGTGCAATAGCACTAAAAAAAGTAATTTAAGACCGGACCTCACACAACTGTCACAGTATCCCCATGGTCATGTGATCAAAATTTGAGCGCTTGGCAATTGACATGTATTTACTAAAGTTGCAATGTCCTGGGATCATGTGATCACCATTTGTGATCTTCCAGCTGGCTTCCAACAAGCAAAATCAATGGGGGGAAACTGGATTTGCTTAACGATCATAATATTTGCTTAATGATTGCAGTGATTCACTTAACAACCATAGCAAAAAAAGTCATAAATTCAGATGTCATTCACTTCACAACTGCTTTGCTTAGCAGTGGAAATTCTGGTCCCAATTGTAAGCTACCTGTACAGGTAGTCCTCAACTTACAACCAGAAATGGGACTGGAATTCTGGGTAGTAAGTAGTCAAAGTTGTAAACCAAGGCACCATGTGATGGGATCAGATATTTTTCGATGGTGTTTTATGGTGGT